CAGCCGCTGTAGAGGATCGCCGGTGATAGGCTCGCGGGCGCGCCACAAAGGGGATCAAATTAAAGCTGAGGCCGCTCAAAAGCGGTGGTGCGGGTGGCGAGGGCCTTTGATCACGGCCAAGCAAGGTTGTCTCGATCAACCGAACGAAGGTGGCGTCGGTCGCATGGCAAGGGCAATGGCCAGGACCCTCAACGTGGGACCTCGGAAACGGCGGTTGGCGTGGCCACGCACCGCGTCGCGCCGAGCTGCTGGTTGTCAGGGCTACCACCATCACATTGTGCGTCGTCTTGATGAACGGCGGTACGTACGGTACCTGCCTGCCGCTCGGGCAGTCAGGCAGGTCAGCGCAGCCTAGCTCGACGTGGCAACGGCAGGCAGGCCTTGCAGCGGCAGCAGGGTACCGGTTGGTCACCACCATCAGCGCCACCACCACCACCACTGCCGCCGCCGCCGCCGCCGGCATCGCCGTGCAAAGCGATCAACGATGACGGACGACAATATGTATGATCAAAACACCCCCATGGCGATGCGTCGGTCGAGCATCGATCGTCGATAAGCTGCCCTTTCTTGTCGTGGCCGCTGATTCTAGGGGGCCTGCCGGGGTTGCCACCCACCCACACCGCTGCGCGTGTCGTTGTGTAGGGTGCAGCAGCAAGCAAGCAGGCAAGCAGGCAGGCATGCTGCCGCCTGAGCTTGTCCGGCCCTGCCCGCAGCTGCTGTCCACGCACCTCACCGCACTGCGCGGAAGCGAAGGCAGGCAGAGACGAGCAAGCAGGCAGGCAGGCGTAACCTCCAACGCGCTCGCTTTGGCGAGGCGAGGCGAGACGAGACGAGACGAGGCGGAGGCGAGGCGAGGGCGTACGTTGGGGGCTTTGGGGTCAGCGTGCTGCCTCTTGAGGTGGGCGTCGCCGCCGCCGTCCGCCCGCCTCGTCTTCTGACACGACCGCCGATGCCGCCGATGCCGCTGCCCCTCCTCCTTGGCCTCGTCGTCCTGTCACGCCTGCGTGCTTGCTTGTCGACTTGACCGGTCGATCTCATGGTCACTGCCAGGCGAGCGAGCAAGCGTTCCACATCGGCAGCCGGCTGGTCGCTGGCTCGTGCCCAAATTGAGAGAAGAGAGAAGATCCCCGGCCTAGTCAGGCCCTGCCGAGCCACCTTGCTCGGGTCTCATCTCGCTCGCTCGCTAGCTTTCGCCAGGTTGGGCCTGCCACCGTGCCTCCTTGGTCGCTCCATCTCGACCCCTAGCTGCCCGCGATAGCAGCTAACCAGACCAAACGGGGATCCTAGCGTCCTCGGGCTTGCTGGAGCGGCGCACCTGCTGCTGGCCTGCTTCGCTCCCACGCACCCGCACGCCTGATTGCCCGCAGGCCTCCGGGAGGAAGGGGAAAGAGAGCTTGGAGCCAACCAGGCAAAGAAGCAAGCAGCCAGGGCAGCAGTAGGTCAGGCAGGCAGGCAGGCAGGCAGGCAGGCACCAGCACGGGGGCGCACGCCCGCACGCACGCACGCACGCAGACTGCTCGCCCGCTGGTTTCGGCGCAGGCGAGGCGGCCAGGCCAGGCAGGCGTTGCAGGCGTTGTAGCGTGCGTGGTGCCCGCCGCGTGCGTGTTGGCCTTTCTGGAACCTTAGCTTGTCTAGCCTAGCCTGGCAGGCCTGCCCCCTCTTCTGGCGGGCCAGTCCCGGCAAGGGGCCGGCCGGCCGTGGCTCGTTACAGCTTTTTTTTCGGAAGGAGGGGCCTTTCCCTGCGTGCGCCTGGCTGCGTGCGCCTGGCTGCGTGCGCCTGGCTGCGTGCGCCTTGGCTTCGCTTCGTGGCTCGCCTTGCTCGGGCCCCCTTCCCTACCTGCTGGCCCCACCCGTCCTCGCCGCGTCCTGGTCCGGTCCCCACCCTCAACCTGGCCCTGCCTGCCTGCCTGCCTGCCTGCCTGCCTGCCTGCCTGCCTGCCTGCCTGACCTGCTGCCCTGGCCCCTTCCCCCTTCCCCGTGCCCTTGCTTGCCGTACCCCTTCTCCTCGTCCTCGTCCTCCTCAACCCCTACGCCCCTCGTCGTCCTTCCCCTCCGTCCGTTGTCATCCCTCGTGCGCGCGCGCCGCAGACGTCTCTTCGCCCCTTCCTTGGTCGCCTTGTTCGCTCGCGCTTCCTCCTGCCATTCCCTCCTCCCTCTTTCGGGCCCGCCGTCTTGACTCCTACACCCGCACCTTGACGCCGGCCCTGATCCTCCGCGCGCGCACCTCGTTTGCTCGCCTGGAAACGACGACGACGAGCCACTCTGGTCGTAGCCCGGATTCCATCTGCTGCTCCATCTTTGTCTCCCGTCCAGACCACCTCGTCCAGCACCACTTTGTCGGCCGCAGCCAAGAGGGCCGCACGAGCACTACTACTACTACTCGCCTGTCGATCTTCGGCCGCCCACATCGCCGCATCGGCCTTAGCCCCCTTGGAGCGCCCGGTAGCGCTATTCTCGCCGTCGCCGCCCACCAGTCACAACACTCCCTCCCCCTGGCCATCGACCTCCATCGACGCCTGCCTGCTTTGCAGTCATAGCTCGACACGCCCTCACGACGCCATCACGCCCCCCGGACCGACGGAGACAGGCTCGCCAACCAGACATCGCGTGGTTGTTCTGCTCCACGTCACGCCACACCTACTGCCAAACTCCCCTCGAAGTTCGTTCGAGATCCACCGCAGCCCACCACCAAGCCGAAGCGTACATCCAGCCTGTACTCCGCTCCGCTCTGCTCTTGTCGAACCGGACCGAGACGAGACCCGCCTGATCCGACTCGCCTTAGACATCCTTGAACGGCACAGGAGCAAGTCGCGGGACGGGAAAAGGGCCGACAGCACAGCGCCGGCACGCTCCCGAACAAGACGCCCGGATCTCGCCAGAACCGAGGCGCTGAGCTTGCGGAACTCCTTCTCGGACTGTATCCGACAGCCCGGCGAATTCCGAACGCGCGTCTCGACCGACTGCAGGCCTCCTCCGACGAAGCCCTACGGAGGACCGCCTGGCGGAACTGGCGGATCACACCTGCCGATTCTGAAAAAGCGGCTCACTCTAGGGCCATCCCCTTTCGCTCAAGCACCACAAAGCCCCGCACCACGAAGCCCCGCTTCTGACGAGCTAGGATGTCGATGATCGCGGGACGGAGGCGGGACTCGGTCAGCGGGGCGTCAAGCCCAATGCCTGGCGGCGCCACCACCTCGGTGCAGGTCGGTGAGTTTCCATAGCCTGGGGCCAGCTCTCAGCCCCCAAGTGGTAGAAATCGCAGCCGAGCTGACATGGCCGTTCCCCCCTGCTTGCCTGACCCGTTTCTCCGTCGACTTGCGACCTCACAGCGGTGCGCATCCGGCCACTGACTTCGGCCGACCAGAGCTCCATACCTTCGAGGTGGCAGCGGAGCGTGGTCCACGCTAGCTCCAGCAACAGCCTCCATGTCGAGCAGGGCGCTGCACCGCCACCGGGGACCGCGGGCGCTGCTGCTCCGGCCTCGGCCCTGTCTTCGTCGTCGCGCGACAAGAAGCAGGCGTTCAGCTTCGACCGCGTCCTCTCGCCAAACGACGGCCAGCCGCAGGTCTACACGGTGGCCGAGCCGCTCATCTCGCGCTTTCTCGAGGGCTACAACGTCACCATCCTCGCCTACGGCCAGACGTCGAGCGGCAAGTCGTACACGATGGGCACCTCGGCCGGCGACGAGATCGACTACGAGAGCCTCGTGGCAGGCCAGACGGCCGACCCGCAGATGGGCATCATCCCGCGCGCCGTGGCCCAGATCTTTTCCACCATCAAGCAGAACCAGGCCCGCTCGGGCGCGGTGCAGTACAGCGCAAAAGCGAGTTTCATCGAGATCTACAACGAGGACCTGATCGACCTGCTGGCCGACGCCGACGGCGATGCGCGCCCGCACGTCCAGATCCGCGAGGGCAAGAACGGCGCCATTATCTGGAGCGGCCTGCGCGAGGTCAAGGTCAGCAATGTGGCCGAGGTCATGAACTACCTGCTCCAGGGCAGCTCCGTGCGGCGGACAAACGAGACCGACATGAACGCCCAATCGTCGCGGTCCCACGCCATCTTCTCGCTCACCCTCACCCAGCGCAAGTACGTCGGCTCCGGCCCTCCGCCTCCGGCAGCGGGAAGCCGCGCTAGGCAGTCTTCCGGTCTGCCCCGACCCGGCTCGAGCATCGTGCCTCCTGGAAGCTTTGACCGCAGCCGCGTCGCTTCGCCCGCACCGGGCACGCTCGGGTCGAGGCCCCACACGCCAAGCTCGAGCGGCATCCCCGGGCTCGGCGGAAGACACTCGAGCGTCGGTCTGCGGCCGGCCAGTACCATCGCCGGGGCCCGCAGCGCGTCGCCCATGTTTGGCGGCGGCGCCGACGACGCTGCCGGCAAGGCTGGCGCCGAGGGCGAGTGGACGACGGTGACGAGCAAGTTCCACTTTGTCGACCTTGCCGGCTCCGAGCGGCTGAAGCGCACGGCGGCGCAGGGTGAGAGGGCCAAGGAGGGCATCTCGATCAATTCGGGGCTGCACGCGCTCGGCAACGTCATCTCGGCGCTGGGCGACCCCAACAAGGCCAAGCGGACGACGCACGTCCCCTACCGCGACAGCAAGCTGACGCGGCTGCTGCAGGACAGCCTGGGCGGCAACGCCCACACGCTCATGATTGCCTGCGTCTCGCCGGCCGAGTACAACGTCAGCGAGACGGTCAACACGCTGCAGTACGCCAACCGCGCGCGCAACATCAAGAACAAGGCCGAGCTCAACGAAGTCGAGGTGGGCTGGGACGACATCGACTACCTGCAAACGCTGGTGCTCAAGCTGCGCAAGGAGCTCAGCATCCTCAAGGGAACGGCGGGCAAGGGGGGCGCAGACGCCTCGTCGGCCGCCGGCGGCGATGACGGCGGCAGCGGCAGCGCGCGGGCGGCGCAGCGCGAGATCCTCGAGTGGCAGGACAAGTACGCCTCGCTGAGCCAGAAGCACTCGCAGCTGACGGCCGAGGTGACCAAGCTGCGCGCCCAGCTCGATCCGGCCAAGCACCGCGGCACGGACCAGGACGACTACTTCAAGCTGGCCGAACCCATCATTGTCGAGTACGAAAAGTCGATTGATGCGCTCGAGGGCCAGCTCAACCTGACCAAGGCGGCGCTGGCGTACGTCGAGGACATGGTCAACGAGCAGCAGGCCATCATGGAAGACCAGAGCGCCAAGCTGCAGACGGTCGAGTCCGAGATGGAGGCCAAGGAGATGACGGTCGTCGAACTGCAGTCGAAGCTGGCCAAGCTCCAGCTGCGCGAGACCTCGGCCGACGCCTATGCAAAGGAGCTCGAGGCCCGGCTGGAGGGCATCACCACGCGCGGCGACACCGACGCCGCCCTCGTGGCCGACCTGCGCAAGGAGGCGGCCAAACTGCGTGACAGCGCGCGCACCACGGAGAGCTACGTCAAGGACCTCGAGGCCAAGCTGGCCTCCGCCGACGAGGCGACGGCCAAGCTGTCGGCCAGGGTCTCGCAGCTCGTCAGCGAGTCCGAGCAGCGCGAGGCCGACTACAAGAACCTCGCCGCCCGCTTCGAGCTGCTCGACTCTGGCGACGAGCGCAAAGCGATGTCGACCGAGCTGGACGCGCGCGAGGAGCGCCTGGCCGACTTGCGGCGACAGCTCGACGTCGTCACCGGCGAGAGGGACGTTGCGGCCAAACAGCACTCGATTCTGCTGACCGCGTCAGCCGCGCACGAAAGAGAAAAGGACGAGCTTATGGGCAAGATCCATGCGCTCGAAGCTGCTGCCGCCGCGGCAGCGGCCGCCGGAGCTGCAGCCGGTGCCGGTGTTGCCAGAGCAGCAGGCTCGCCCGAGGAGGCGGGCTCTGGCGGCGAAGAGGCCGCACAGTTCCGCCAGCAGCTCGAGCAAGTGCAGCAGGAGCTGCAGGCGCTGCGCGACTCGGAGTCGCAGCTGCGCACCGACTACGAGCTGCGCAACGTCAAGTACCGTGACGCGCTGCGCGAGGTCGAGGCACTCAACACCCAGCTGACCGAGGCCAAGCTCGAGGGCCGGCTGCCTCGGGCAGACTCGTCGTTCCGCCTCGACGTTGGCGACGCAGGAGGCGACGAGGAGCTCGAGGTCCTCGCGCCACCATCCGACGAGGGTCGCAGCGACAACAGCAGCCGCTCGCCGATGCGGCAGACGGCCTCGCGCCGGTCGAGCCTGCGACGGCCCGAGAGCCTGCTGGTCGACAATTCGAACCGGCAGAGCCCGATCAACAACCGGCTGATGCGCCGCTCCTCGGGCAGTTTTTTAGGGTACAACAAGAGCGACGGCACGCGGACGCCCGGGTCGTCGCCCCACGTCCGTACCCGCTCTATGTCGCAGTCGCTGTCGCAGGAGCTGTTGGCGGGCTTGTCTCCCTCGCCGTCGCAGCAGCCCATCCGCGGGCCGAGGCCGCTCTCCTTGACGGGCTCCGTGCCGCCTTCGCCTACCTTGAGGGCATTCGAGCCCGACTCGGCGGCCAACTATGAGCGCAAGGTGGCCTCGCTCGAAAAGGAGGCGATGCGGCTCCAGGAGGCGCTCAAGGAGCGCGACGACGAGATCCACACGCTCGAGGCTACGGTGCGCGAGCTGCGGAGCAGCAGCAGCGGCTTCAACACGGCGGCGGCGAGCAACAGCAGCAGCGTGTCGGGCGAGGACGCCGAGTCCCTGCCCACCACCGATGCGGCCGGCTCCTTCTCCGCCGCCGGGGCCGCGCCAATCGCGCCTGCCAGCGAAAAGGACTTCGACGCCTTCCGGCGGTTGCTGGCCGAGGCTCGGGTCACCGACGAGACCGGCGAGGAGCCCAACCGCGAGAGCATCCTGCGCCTCGACGATCTGATGCGCGCGATGGCGCGCAAGGAGACGACGCACCGCGAGTCGGTCGAAGCCCGGGATCGCGAGCTCAGCAGCCTACGCAAAGAAAAGGAGACGCTCGAGGCCCTCTCAAAGGATCAGCTGGCCAACATGTCAAACGAGATCGAAGCGCTGCGCGCCCAGCTGAACGATGCGCGGGCCGACAAGGAGAACGCAGGCCGGCCATCGGCCGAGGTAGCCGCCCTGCAGCCCTCGCAGGCGCGCAACCTCGCGCCGCTCGATGTCCAGGAGCAGGAGAGCAAGCGACGCTCGCTCATCGCCGAGCAGCACGCCTCGTTCCAAAAGGAGCTGGCGTCCGTTAAGGAGGCCCACGCCGCTACGCTCTCGTCCAAGGAGGCCGAGCACAGCTCTGAGCGCGAGGAGCTCGTCAGGCAGCACGAGGCCGCCATGACCCGCAAGGTCAAGGAGCTGCAGGACGCCGCCAACCGTCGGGCCGAGGAGCATGAGCAGGCGCTCACTCACCTCCGTGACGAGCATGAACGCCGCCGCGAGGCGCTGGTAGAGGAGCGCGCAGCGGCGCTGAGCAATGCCGAGATCGCCCGCCAGAGCTCGACGGTCGAGTCCGAGAGCGAGCGCGAGTCGCTCCTCCGCAAGCTGCAGGAAGACCACCAGTCGATGATCGCCAAGCTCAAGGAGGACCACGAGCTCACTCTGTCCAAGTCGCTCGAAGCCAAGCAGGTCGAACACCAGTCCATCGTAGCGGACCACGTCGCCAAACTGCAGGCCCTGCAGGAGGAGTCGGACGCCGCTCTCGAACGGCTCAAGCTCGACCACGAGCGGGCGCTGCAGAAGCTGACGGCGGAGCATGCCGCCACGCTGACGTCTGCCAAGGAGACGTCGGACCGCAGCGTCGACAACCTCCGCATGGAGCTCGAGGCGCAGCACATGACGATGCTCACCGAGGCACTGCGCGAGGCCGAGAACCGAGCCAAGGGCGAGCACGACAGCGCCCTGGCCGCGCTCCGCGCAGAGCACGAGGCCAAGACCGAGGTGCTGGCCAAGGCGCACGCCGCGGCGCTCGACGAGGCCGAGCTGCGCTACACCAAGGCCGTCACGGGCCACGCCAGCGCGGTCGACGACCTGAGCCGCGAGCACGCCGGCTCGTCGACCGAGGCGGCAGAGACAATTGCTAAGCTGCGCGCCGAGCACGAGGAGCTCCAGCGCAGCCTCGAAAAGCTGCGGCAGGAGGCCGTCGCCGCCGAGGAGCACCAGCGCGACGAGCTGGAGCGCGTCGTGCAGGAGCTCCAGTACATTCTTGCCGACCGGGATGCGACCAAGAAGGCCTACGGGGAGCTCGAGGCCAAGCACCGCGACTACGTCGACAAGTCCGACTTTGACCCGCACGAGGTCGACCAGCTGCGCTCTGACCTGGCCGAGACGAGCGATGCGCTCATCACGCTCGAGGCTGCGCTCACCGAGGCGCAGGAGGAGCGCGATCAGCTGCTCATCGAGATTGAGACGGCGCGGCAAAGCGCGGCCGAGGGCAGCCTGGCCAACGGCCTCGTCAACGGCCTGGCCAGCGCCAACGGCAACGGCCACGCCGACGGCGCCAACGGGGACCGGTCCGTCACGGTCACCAACGGTGCCGGGCCCGTCGATCCGGCGCTGTCGCGCGAGCTCGAGGCGCACAAGTCGGCGCTGTCCAAGACCAAGGCGGAGATGGACAAGATCCGGGCCGACCTGCAGGGGATGGTCGAGGAGCGCGGGCGGCAGGAGCAGACGATCAAGGAGCTGCAGGCCAAGCTGGCCAGCTCCGAGACACGCTCGGTGCGTTCGCAGGGCAGCGGCAGCTTTGGCCACAACAGCAACGGCGAGGTGGAAAACGCCGCCAACGCGTCTGCGTCGGTGTCAGGCGCCATGGCCAACGGCTCGCGGCTGTCGATGGGCCGGCGGGCGTCCGACTACGACGGGCTGGGCTTCGAGCACCGGCCGTCGCGCAACAGCTCCGCGCCCAAGCCTCCACCGCCCAACCCGCCGCCCAAGATGCCGCCGCCGCCGACGCCGACGGGCTCGAGCGTTGCGTCGCCGGGCCTGGTGCGCTCGCCGGTGGGTGTGAGGACGTCGACGTCGTCGCAGATGACGCGGCCCGACTCGCCGAGCGGCATCACGCGGTCGTCTTCGATCGCTTCGGCGCACAGCGCCAGCCTTAACGGCGTCGGCAACGGCGGCGGCGGCGGCGCCGGGCCTGGTGCGCTGGCGGTGGATGCCAAGTACGCCAAGCTGGTGGCGGAGCAGGCCGACGAGATCAAGAACCTGGCCAAGCAGCTCAACCACTGCGAGGCGGACCTGCAGGCCAACATTGACCTCGTCGCGACGCTCGAGGCTGCGCTCAACGACAGCGAGCGCAACCTGCGCAAGTCGCGGGTGCAGCTGGCCGAGGTGACGCGGGAGCGGGACCGGTACTCTGCGCAGGCCGACGAGATGCGGGCGCAGCTCAACACGGCGCAGCACGAGGTCGAGAGCGTGCGCAACAGCGTCATGCTCGAAAAGCAGGGCTACGAGAGCAAGCTGGAAGAGGAGCGGCAGGCAAAGGAGCGGGCGCGGCAGGCGCTCGAGGCGAGGCTCGAAGAGGTGTCGAAGCGCAAGAACAGCAAGCTCTTTTGCCTGTAGGCCCCGAGCGAGGAGCTCGGCGCGCCCCCGTCGTTCTGCCCGGCCGGTCGCCGTTGGCAGCTGTCACAAGTCACCGTATGTTTGTCTTTCCTTTATCCCCCTCTGCTTCTTCGTCGGGCACGCCCGGTCCGGTCCGGTTCGTCCTGGCCGTGCCGTGCCGTGCCGCAGCCGTTTCCTCGTGCTTGCCTTTTCCCACACCTGTTTGTATTGATTCTGCTTTTGTTCGACGTGGCCAGCTGGGTCGTAGAGGGGCCTGGCTGCCTGGCTGCGTCTTTCTTCGTTGATTGCCTTTCTCCCGGCCTCTGCCGTCGTTGATCTTTGACCTTGCCATGATCTTGGCCCCTCGGCGATACCTCACCGGTCTCAGCACTAGTATACGAGAGTGCTTTGAACCAAGCGGCCACCAACTGTCGTGCCATCCCGGGGCCACGGTAGGGCTGTTAGGGCTGTCCAGGAGCCAAGCTGTCGGATCTCCCGCGCGTGCGTGAGCGCCCCGTCTCGGCCCTGTCCCGATGGCTTGCCAATCCGGGACCGACCCCGATGTGCTGCCTGTGTTATCGTGCTGCGACCAGAGGCATGGGGCTGTGCTGCCCGTCGTCGGTCTCGGGTAGGCAGGGTTGGGTGCGACGTACGCATCCATGGCCGATGACCCTGGAGCATGAAGCTGCTGGCTAGGCTGGGCTGGGCTGGGATCGGGAGGCTGCGCTGTTGCCAAAGCCAGAAGCATGGCGTTGCAGGGCCCGAAGCCGCTGTTAGCACGTTGGCGGGGTCGGGCGGGGGCCGAGGCCGGGCGAGGCCGGAGCTGTAAGGCAGGCCAGGCAGGCCAGCCAGCCAGCCAGGCCAGGCTGGGTCAGGCGTGCGTGCGTGCGTGCGTGCGTGCGTGCGTGCGTGTCGCGTGGAGCGGNAGCAGNNGCGAGNGTGG